CCCCCCAATCAAAGTTCAGCAATATGGCTTTGCACCTCTTTTTCCTTTTTTTTTTCTTTAAGGGGGGAGGGGGCAAGCGCCACCCTTGAACACCCCTTGTGACGCCCATGACCAGACTGAAGCAAAAACATCACCTTAATCCAACACTTGAGGGAACTCAGACCAGACCTTTAAAGAGAAACAACAAAGACAAACACATAAACCAACAGACAAATGTTCACGCTTGAAATCAGAAACATCGGAAGGAGATGACAAATTCCTCGCAAATTCCTTGCAACCGAACACCTATACCAGGCGATCGGTGAGCGGTCTCTAACAGCAGCAACCTTGAACTGAAGAGTGTGACAGCCCGATTGACCCAGCGGGTCCCTTTTCTGGGTCACAATGACCCATTTAAAGTATCAGGAAGCAAAGGTTGTTTGTACCTTTTTCTCTTTTTTTTTGGTTGTGTCCTTGGCAGTGAAAGGAATCTCGGCAAAAATGGTAGCGTAGGCAGAACGCACAAAGGCTTTTGACTCTGACTGTCACTGCACCAGGTCAGGAGGTACTAGGTTAGGTACGGGCCTGTTGAATTTGTCATTTATGTGTTACTGGGAACTGAATTGACTGTAATAAGTGCACATCCATCATATTTCCTTTTCACATAACAGTCTACTTTAATTCCCCCCTCCCCTTTTACATAACCATAGGTTATTGAGCTACATTTTGTTAGCATTGCACTTGAGATTCTCTTGACCTCAATCCTAGAGTCTATAGAAATTGTGAGGGTGGTAGACCCTGTGTGTACCGGTAGCTTCACCCTTAGCTGAAAGCAAAAAGGGGAAATTAGTTGGGGCAATAAGCACTAATGAAACAGGTGTTTAGGATTTGTTTAAGGCGAGTGCTACCTGTAGATTTTTTTTTTATTTACGGACTTGACCAAGTTTAAAGCAGTGTATTGTTGATGTCTCCTAACATTTTGCGTCCCCTAAAGTGGCGCATTTAGATTTTTTCCCCTGTAGTGCCTTTCTAGGGCGAAATTTTACCTCAGATTTCACAGTAAGCAAAATTTCATCAAGCTCTACACATTCCCGTTCGTAAATCTTAAGCTAATACCAACCCGTTAACATAAACAATTATATTTTGGCATAATTTTCCGATATTTTTTAAGTGCACAATGAACCCTCGTAAAATGCTCCCAAAAATAAGAAAATGATCTGCTGATAAACTTGTAGTTGATTACGTGAGTGGAGATGGTAATGGTTTATCAGAACTTGATTTTGTGCCCAATTGCCGGACGCAACTGTTTTTTAAAAATTAATTTCAGTCTAAATTCCATGACACTAAACTTGTTCACGAAGGTTCAACAGCAAGCATTATAGTACCAGTATTTAACTGCATGAATTTGAAGTTTGTCAATAAAGAGGTTTGGCAACACTGCATGAGGAAAGTTGAGGGAAACGTCGAAGTGCTCCACGTTAGGGGACTCCACTATTATGTTGAGCTACTGCTTTCTATTAGGCCAAAAAAAAAGTTTCCGGTTTCTGGTATGCGCGCGCGTCGCCGTAGCCACGCGCGTCGGCAAAATGAAAAAGTTTTTTTTTCAATGAAAGATGATGTCTCAAAACCTCCAAACTCACTGGTTTGACTGGAATCCTGCTGCTGCACAATTTTAACGTGTTTTTAGATGGGGTTATGATATCGAGAATAAGCTTTATGTGGCTTCTCTGGACTCCCATATATTTGTACTAAGTTTAGTCGGGCACCATTTGCAGTCATCAGCCGACATTTGAAGCAAAAAAGTCAGGTAAAAAAAAAAAAAAAGCCGTGTCGCCGCACCACTTTTCGGACAAGCTCCATACCAGAAACCGGAGACCTTTTTTTTTTGGCCTTACCCTTGCTTTTCTATTACACTTGCTTCGCCCCATATAAAAGGAGTAAAGTATTTTTGTACATAAATATATGGCCTGCAAGTTGGTTGTATATTGTTGAGGTGTGTTTGGACACAAACTGCCACATGATTGCTGTAATTTGAAAAGCGCTACCTTGGGTTTTTAGAGGGTCGACCACTGGCAAGTGTTGTACACACACTTGTCCATGATTCCACTCACACATCCCGAAAAATTTGTATCCTTGTGGAGACGCTGCTTTGTTGTTGTGTACAAACAGGTTAGAAGGTCGAAAGCAATTATCAAAATGCTCCTATTTGAACCAGAATTACTTTCCTGCGTCGAAATTCTGACCAAATGTCCCGAACATAAAATGTGGAGATCCTTTTTTTCTGTACTATACCCGGGTCTCAACAGAGTAACACTTTTGGATTCACTTAAAATTGATATCTTGTGTGTTGGGTTGTACATGTAGAAGGTCTCAGGGAAATTGCAGCAAAGTATCTTGCTAATGGACACACTGCTTCAAAGTCCCTGTCATTTTAAACACATGGTTTATTTGTGTTGAGCTTTTGAGGGTCACAGGGTCAGGTGGTAATTATGGGGATGATTTTCTGTTGTCCCACGCAGGCGGATCTGGACAGAGATCCGGGTTAGCCTGGTAAAGTAGGCAGCGTGTATGAGTGTCTGGTACCAGGATGTGCCATCCAAAACACCTGCTGAACATGTATTTGCGGAGTTTGAAACCAATAATATCGGGTCAAGATCCTTTTTAATGAAATGTAACAACCCAGATGCATTGTATTGACGGACTATTCTCGGAACGTGGAATACCCCACTGGACCGAGTCCCGATTTTTAAGGACTGGTTTTGGGAGTACGGTACTATGACCGACATGGTCATGACAGGTGATCAAGTGTAGTTGGGTTTTTCCTCCCTAATATTACAAATAAGTGTGAATAACAATATTTGTCTGCTTTTAAGCTCCGTGGACTATGGCCATTGGTAGGAAATTCTGCTAAACGCAAATTGTGCTAAGTAAAAATCAGTCGAGAACCAGTGACAAGCAATGAACATTATGTGGTATTTTAGCTGGTAACCTATTCTTACATGTACAAAACAACTTTTTTTGGTGCTTATCAAATTTCTCTGCTAGTCATCTCCATGAAACTGCCCCCTCCCCCCGGTCTTTGTTAATTTTTTAAGAGAATTGGTTGAAAGTGCACAACTTTCATTCTCACAAATGTGTGACTGTTTTATGACATCGATCTTCAAATTTCTTCTTGTGGGCAATTTCATGGTAACTCATGTTACATTTAGAAGGGGTCTACCGTCAACTCTGTGCTGTTATTCTATTAAGTCAAAGCATTGAGGGTGGATTTTTCTCACAGAAAATCCCTTGAAATTAATTGACTAAATTTCATTTTTTAAATCAATCATTTAATCTCTAGAGGGATATATTTCAGTAACTCTCTTTACGGTAACTCGCGTTACAGTTTGTCCAACTGTCTTTGGTACAAGTTTAAACATTTTAAGAAAGTAATAATCAGACAATTTTTGGTAAAGAATATGAACCCTTTTCTTTTCCTTAAAAACCAAAACTCACAATAACACTAGCATTTCGCATATATAAAAAACCCAAAATGACTCATGATCAGAGGGTCAGGGGTTCGAATCCAGCTACTGGTCATACATGTGTGTTGTGTCCTTGGGCAAGCCACTTCACCCCCACTTGCCTCTCTCCACCCAGGAGTATAAATGGGTACCTGCATTAGCTGGAGAGTAACCTGCGATGGACTAGCATCCCGTCCAGGGGGAATAGAAATAAAGTTTCTAGCGTTCAAAGAGGGATTTTTGCAGCGGCTTTTCCAAAATCGTGGCTTCAGCTTTATGATTTAAGGCCTCTGAGGTGATGCCCTTACTGTCATTTTCTGCTCCAGAAACAACGGTTGATCTAACGAATCGATTTTGAAGTAGACGGAGTCAAAGCCATTAAAGCAGCCATAATTTGAAAAAATGGCCCTAATTTTTTATCACATGCCACTCAAAATCCAATTTAATTTCAACCTTTTGCTGACCGAAATCAAAATTATTTCCCTAATACGATCACTTTTTATATCCCCCCTCAAAAAAAAAAAAACACTCATTATATTATTCCCTCATAGAAATCACAAACAAATCTAAAAAAAAACATTATTTCGTAATAACCTGTAACGTAAATATGTTCACATCACACGAAGTCATTTAGCTGGGTATTTTTTTGTTCTTTTTCCCTTTTGGGTATAATATACTACCAGTGTTTCCTCCTCCGCCCCCTCTTATTGAAACCCTGCTCGCCACGCAACAAATGGTAAGCCGAAACTGTTCACGGTCCGCAAGTCAACCGCGACCGTTTGAAAATTACACAAGCTTTGTTAATGGACACTTCTCCGGATCCCCTATTGAAATGACCCAGAGAAAGAAAAATCATCCGATTTCCACGCTCCCCCCCCCCCCCCCACCCACCTTCCACCTACATTGCCCTTGACAGCGGCACTAAAGAGCAAATTAAATTTTAAAGAAGATTTTTTTTTTTGGAGGGGGCGGGTTATGCCATTGTAAAATGTACAGTTTCATTACTTTTTGTGCTGTGTTTTTTTATAATCCTCAAGTTTAAATGATGCAACAGTTGCCTGTGTTGAACTGGTTTTTTTTTTTTTTTTAATCCTACGGTTTCCTACACTCATGAGCTAAATACCGATAATTAATGCCCCCTTTTGGGGTGGGGATCCGTAAAGAGATGAGATAGAGTCTATTTGTAAACTGTACATTTAATTTAAAAAAATAAATGCTGTGCAATTTTAACTGTAACATGTTTTTCATTCATAATTATATTGCTTTAAAATAGCTGTCTGTTGTCGGACACTTCAGAGGGTCTTAAAATTTAGGGGTAACCAGTGTGGCCACCAGACTTGGCTAGTCATTTAAACGTATGTGTTTTATCTAAAAAACTTACCCTCACCATGAAACACCAGGGGTGGTCTGTGCTCGGACTCATGATGAGTCACTCATCAAAAAGAGAAGTATCACCTTTTGTTACCAGACTATAAATTCTTGATTTCTAAATTGTTCCTCCTCCTGATTGGTCAACAGGAGCGGTCTGTTTTCGGACTCCACGGAAAGAAAAAGCAGCCTTGAGGATGGCACCCTGGGCACGTCGTCCGGCTATTCTCTCTTCAGCTACTCCTCCCCCTGGGCTGGGGGCAAGCAAGACGGTAACTTTCTCACAATGTTTCTTTTTTTCTGTCCATTTCGACTCTCAAATTGGTATTCCATACTCAAGCTCAAGTCTATCCTTGCTATCTTTGGTTAAAAACTGGGGGTTCTTTCGAGATCCTTTTCTTGTTACTACCCCTGATTGTCATGCCAAGTATCTGAACCAACCATTTTGGAAGTACTACGCCCTAGGCAAATTTTGCTCATGTTGCAAATACTCATCACAATGCTTTCCTGTTTTTTAATGTTTTTGTGAACGAACAGGTTTCAAATAATTTGTTTTATTTTTTATTTAAAAGGGCACATCGTCTCGCAAGAATAACACAAAAACGACCCATTTTTAAATGATAGTTGTGTGGACGTTTATATTCTATTTTTAACCCTCCCTCTCTGGCTGTCAAATTCAACACAGCTATCCCAGCAGTCAAAATCAATCAAGTGACTGTTTTAAACAGTTGAGTGCTCCCTGCCTGTATCAAGCAGGACTGACTGGCTGTGACTGTTTTTGTAACTTGATATAGTTTTGCCTTGACAGTAGGTTTATTGATAAGCCAGCTGTACCTACCAGTTATTTGCTTTTGTCTGTTGATGGAACTTGCCTAGTCACAGTGCTTGCTTGAAATATGATCTGACTGTTGGTGACTAGCCTGTGTAAAAGGCATGTCAGGGGAAGAGGATTGATTTTTTTGACTGTCTGTGACTGTTCAGACAGTAGGAGGGTTAAATGCTCTTTCCAATCAATATCATTTTGGTTAAAACACTTTTTTTAAAGCCCAATTGGGCACTTTCTAGAATTTAGTGTTCCTTTAAATCATGCGTAGACCCTGTAAGTTTGTGCAAAGCGTAGTTCAAATGACGTTGTTGAGATTTGACGTACATGTATGCGTATTTTTTTTTCATTTTTTTTTCTTCAGACTACCCTACCAGTCAGCTTTCTCCCTTAATATGCATGTCAACGTTGGTGACTCAGTCAAATTGACTCTTGCCAATTCCCTTACCCCTCAACTATCTTTAAAAGCAAAAAAAATGACATGGTCAATTGCTGTCCGTAAAATGATCGGTCAGTATATTTCCTTCTCCCTATCTCATTGTTAATGACCCAAGTGGTCAATCCGTCATTCATCTGACCACTAGAGACCAAAAGTAATCTCTTGAAAGGCCCGATGTGGTCAGTTTTTGCACACCCCTGGGCGTATCACACCTATGATATCGTGACGTGAAAGCCTTGGTGTACATATGACGGGTGAATACATTAATATTAGAAAGTGGCTCAGTCACTCAGCGTGCCTTCCAGATCAGTTAAATTACTCTGAAAAAATTAGTCCCTCCATAAAAGACAAATTTTCACACTTTTTTTGCCATGACAGTGTTCAAATAGTGTAAAAAATGTACAAAGTCGGATATTTAATTTGTGCAATTCCTATTGGGTGCCACTGTGGAAACTGCAGTGCTTGATGGACCTGCCTTATTGATGACTTTGTGTTTATAGAATCTCAAATACAGGGTGTATCAACAACAACAAAGGGAAACCCGAATGTAAATGTAAATTTTAAAAAAATCTAACTTATTTGAAAATATTTATTAGATTTTTTATAATTCACATTTACATCTGGGTTTCCTTTTATTATACACCCTGTATGTTGTATTTGGTCTGATCACTAGAAGCAGGGTGTTGCAGTAGCATCAGGGGCTCTGCCCCCTCCCCCCCCCCCCCCCTTCTCCTCACCCCCCCCCCCAAAAAAAAAGGTTCAAATGGAAAGAAATAAGATCCCCTTGGAATACTGGTACCCCCTTTGTCTCTCCCCCGCCCACTCCTCTTCCAATGCCAAAATTCTTTCTACGCCGCTGATGACCAATGGAACTCTAGCCAAATGTGACATGCTTTGAATGCATGCTTGGCAGTGCTCCAAACAGACATAGAAAGCTGGTCATTCATACATGTAATCACTTTCAATAGGATGATTCAGTTCATTTGCGAAACAGGGGGGGGGGGCCAAAAAATGTAACTTTTCCACAAATAACAAATAAATGTTACAGTCTGCAAGCGAACCAAGAAGTTCCCACGCTTGCATTCTGTTGTTCCCCTACCCCTCACCCCGCCCTCCTTTCTATGCCAATGACTTCCAAAAGCCAAACACCTGCAAGTTTTCACTTATGAACAGATGTGGTCGACGTTTATCGAAATTCATGCTGGGCAAGGTTTTAAACCATAGCAAATACCTGCATTAAAATTCAATACCTACTTCAAAAAATGAATGATTAGTGCTGTTGTGTTTATACCGCCATCTATGATTGTTTGCTTTCAATCGACCGATAACCATTTCAGGCAGAACAATTTCACAGGGTATTTACAATTTGGAAACAGTCCTATCTTCACCTTGCAATGTTTTTCCACCTAATTGCCCATGTTCCTACACATTTTACGATTTACACCATAAAAAGCAAAAAACACTTTTTCCTTCGGTCATATTCTAAGACAGACTTTTAAAAATGTGGCTGCCCTCGTTTTAATTCATCAGTCATCATCAGTGGGGCCTCTCCATTACGTGCTGTCGGACGAACATTGATTCATGTATCCAATCGGAGGTTACCAGAGCACGAAGCATGGAGTACGTTTTTGCCGCGTTTGCGGAAGTGACATTTTTCGGTTTGTCGTATAAAACATGCGGGAAGCGTCACTGCGGACGCAGGGGAGTCCGGGACCGTACACGATATATAAATCTCATTATTTCTTAACGACTTCAATGTCAGTCAATGAGGGGTGTTGAGAGTGACCCTTGTTCCAGTCCGTTATCATAAGCTGTGGATGAATCTATTTTCTGTGGCGGGGAGACTACCAGGAATTTTTTTTTAAAGGTTCTGTTTATGGTAGGGGTAAATATACATGTAGCTGAAATAAATGTCTTCAAATCATTAGATTTGAGGCAATAATGCTATCAAATGTGTACATGATGAGATTTTTTAAAAATAAAAATATTAAATGGAGTGTAAATTTTAAATGTACAATGTTAAAATGAAGTGTCACCGGAGGACATGCATCCCGACTCCCCCACTTTCAAAGGCTGGAATACAATGGACAGGATTGGGAACCAGCCTATTTCCACAGAAATATAGTCAAGTCAATCACAAGTAAACAAAAGTTAAATCACAAGTATACAAGTGACAGGGGAATAACAATAACAAGGGAAAAGAAATAACGCCTCAAATTCATTTGAAGAACTTGCTTCTTTCATCCAGACTGGATGACTTGTGATTGACTTGTGATGACTTGTGATAACTTGTGATGACTTGTGATGACTTGTGATAACTTGTGATGACTTGTGATAACTTGTGATGACTTATGATGACTTGTGATTGACTTGTGATGACTTGAGTACTACTCTGGGGAGACTTCGTTTTTCCAGAAGTCTCAGTTTCAAAGCCTCCTTAGTCAATTTTCTATGCTTAACAACAACAAAAATTGCTTGCTTGATCATCAACAGCACTGTCTGTTCCAGTTCTTTTTTGTTGCAAATGATATTCATGTAATCAACTCAATTTCTGTTTCATTATCCTGTCTTCCTCTCCCTCCCCGCCTTCCTCCATAGGTCACAACCTGAACCCTTCCCCTTTCTCCAGTTCCCCCAGCTCACCCCGCTCCCAGTCTCCCAGCGTCCAGTCCAAGAACCAGCTGGGAGGGGGGCTGGGTGGGGGGCTCGGGTGGGGCACTGAGAGGAGTGGCACCACAGGGGCCTGGAGTAGTCACCCGACACGGGGACACCAGCTGTCCAGCTCTCCGACCAGCGGTCTGCTGCCGGACTCTATACAGGTGAGTTCAAGGAACCTCTGTGTAAATTATGGCTTGTCAAACCAAAGCAGTCTGAAAACTAGGGCTGCGTAGTTTCAAATAATCCAGTTTTCGATTTCTGCAACTTGGGCTTGATCGAATTTTCAATTTTGGAAATGCTCTGATCAAGTTAAACATGCGCCAGCCTAAGCTGGAGTTTGCATGCACCAGCGTTCGTCAAAAATTGACAAAGAGCCTAGAAAGAACAGGGAGTGGTGGCTGATATTTGACCGATTTGAAAGAAGAAATTTGAGCTAATAGTCATGAAAGCTTTCAAATCATGCCCATAATGGCTTGCAACAAAAGTATGGCATTTGACGAACAATGAAACCACACAGGTTTTCATCATTTCCTTGAGACGGCTCACACCTTTTTTTTTTAATTTGAAACTTTTTGCATATTTTTTGCATATTCGTTTGATATTCAAATATTAGGTATCGGTATACTTGTCACAGCCCTACTGAAAGGTTTTGTGAACCAGCACCCATTTGTACCATGGCAATAAACAAAAAGCAGTATACAAGGAAGATGGGTACAAAATGTCCCGTCCCTTGTCTCCCCCCCCCCCCCCCCCAGACCCAATGGGAAATAAAAATGCTTAAGAAAACTTTTTTTTTTTAGCAAAAGGCCATGTTTTACAGCTGTTGTAGAGTGGCCCACACTGGCATCTGCAACTGTTAGCGGATGGATCGGGTACAAATCTACAAGATTTGAACCTGGGTTGGATTTGAACCTGGGTTGGATTTGAACCAGGATTGGATTTGAACCTGGGTTGGATTTGAACCTGGGTTGGATTTGAACCAGGATTGGATTTGAACCTGGGTTGGATTTGAACCTGGGTTGGATTTGAACCAGGGTTGGATTTGAACCTGGGCTGGATTTGAACCTGGGCTGGATTTGGGATTTGAACTTGGGTTGGATTTGAACCTGGGTTGGATTTGAACCAGGATTGCAGACATGGAAGGGGAGAACAGTACTGTTGCACAAACATAACTACCCATTTGCAGTCGGGCGCCACATCATTATTCATTGTCTTTCATATCCCATTGCAGTCCATCTGGTCCAGCCCCTTGGGTAGCTCCGCCCACAAACCTTCCCCCTTGGAGGAGTTACTGAAACGCCAGAAAATGACCGACCAGAGGTGAAGGAAGTTGACGAATTCAAAAAGGAAAAGAACAAAACAACGTACCAAAAACCGACAACGGAGATTGAGAGGCACAGGTCTGGTCTCGTCTTCTGTCGCAGTATCTGTCAAGGGGTGTGTGTCCCTGTCTGTCACCTTGTCTGTGACTGGATATGTTGCTTGACGTCTTCAAACCAGGTTTGTATTGTCGACTGGTTTCGAGAAAAAAAATGTGATATATAGAAATCAATGCATATGATTTGTTTTGGTTTAAAAAAAAAAACAAAGAGCTTGATTCGGAATAGGTAGATAAGAGAATTTGTGCGTCGCCATGTGCGTAACGGTATGCGTAGTACAGTGTGTCACCGCATGGGCAGCGATCTGTTGCGTTTGTATCGTGTGTCAACCCATCTGTCACTGTGTTCGGCAACCAGTTTGTCACTGCATGCGCTACCTGGTGTGTCACTGGACATGACTGAGGAAGCAGTGCGTACAGTTGGGTTCCACTACGCAAGACTCACTTGTGAAAAAAGGTTGAATTTAACAGGTTTTGAGTAGCGCATCACTATGTTTAATACCAGTTTATTAAAACTGGTTTGATAATAATTTAAATAATAATTACCTGATTTTAACCAGGTTTATGAATTTACAATACTTTGTGTTATTTATGAAGTCACGTGGCTGGTTATGATAACTTGGGTTGTTAACCAGAGTTACGAGTGGTTGTTGACTAAGTTGTGAGTGGATGAATTAGCATTGGAATGGGTTACTAGTTATCATTTATAACCCCATTAATATTCAAATTCATTTAACCGTTTCTGCCTGCAATGTTAAAGGTTTTAAATTTTTAATCACTTGTATCGATAAACCTTGCATTTAAGTTTAGCCTTAAGCGGGGTTTACTATTCTGTAGTTACTTTAAACGGTTTATCCAATGTTATTATTAACAACTATAGCTGGTTAAAAAAATGAAACTTACCTTGATTATCACTGGATATTTCATAGGTGTCTCAAACCAGTTTATGGTAAATTATCTATATCTGTTATGTGCCTCATTTTCTTGTTAAAAACCACTCGAGTTTCCCATTGATAGTTTTAAGTCATTTTATAGATTGGTTTATAGGGAGTTTAGTTGAAACGACGTTTCTTGGAATGTCGCTGGATAGTTCCAAGAAAAACGTTGTTCTTTATAATGGATAAAGAATCATTTTATATAATGATTCATGTTAGTACCAGCTTTCACTCAGCGACGTTGGTTTATTTGAAGGGTAATGGTAGCAGAGTAAGTTTCACAATTCTAGTTACGGAAAAATAACTGGGACCTCGCCAATTTTAACATTTTCCAAAAAACTCGAAGAGGATATTAATGGAGTTGCGTCAAAGCACAAGATCCGATGGCTACAGTCAATTCTGGTCGGATCTGGATCCGACCGGATCTGACCAGCCAGTACCAGAATGTATGTGTTATAAGTATTATAAGAGGTTTTTATGGGACAAGTGGGATCAGGCCAACTCTGGTTTGATCCGGATAGGATCGGTTTCAACTAGATAGGGCCAGATTTTTTTACTATGTGTAGCATATTATTAGGGCATAAGTAGACTTGTTGGGATCACCCGGCTCTGGCTGGATCTGGTTCCGACCAGTTTCAACCAGATAGGGCCAGAAGAATGTGTTGGAATATGAAGGGACATTAATCTGCTGAAGTCGTTTTTTTTTTTTCTCATTTATGTCAACAAAGCAGCTCCACTTACGGTTATATAAAATCATCTTTACAAGATCATTTTTTTCCCAAAACTCTCGCAACAATAGTGAAAGAGTTCATTTCACTGAGTGTAAAATTCCAGCCTTTGTCGCCATTTAAGCTGCCTGTGTATTGTTATGACTCATTTTTGTGTGGGGGTTTTTTTTGTATTTATTTTTAAAAATGTTTTTTTTTGCAACAATTGTGTTCCCAGTCACAGAGTCAAGGTTGTTTCGAGCTTGGGTTGAAAAGTTCAAACTTTGCGAGTGCCGAGCCAATCATATTATAAAAACGGGGCAGTTGATACCACAGGTTGTATTGACACAATTTTACCTTTAAAAAACCACAGCAGGTTAATCCGAGAAATTAGGCTGAAAATCTGGTTGAAACTTGGGGTTTTGAAGGTTTTGCTACCCGTTTGTTGTATCTTGCTTGCGGGACTGTGTCGGGACGGGATTCTGATGGGGAAGCAGGCTGCTCTAGCCCCCACGAGCTGGCCCCGTCACCCTGGTACTGCTTCCCATCACCTTAGTTCTTCCCAAGTAAGCTGCATCACAGTGGAGCTTGTCTAATAGCTGCTCGTCACAGGCTTACTAGACCACAGACATAAATTTGCTGGAAATACAGTATTTAAACTTCATCCCTCACAAAAGAACACAATGTATAATGCTTTATTTTTGAAGCGTACAAATTGTTCTGCCTGTTCAACAACTGCATGTTATCAAGCCGTATTGTGTGATATGTTCAAGTTCACGCAAAACTCTCTTTAAGCTTGGTTTTCTTGGACCGCTTAGCAGACAAATATTGCTTAACTGCTATAGATTATTACAAGTCTTAACCTTTTTGGTGATAAGCAAAGATACTGGTCTAGCTCCGTAAAATGTGCCCCTGCTTACGTTGTTGTTGACCAGCGACCATTTGTAGAGAGCTTCTGAAACACAGACATTAACTAATATGGATGCAGACCAGTAAATACACCTCACAGGTACCATTGATTATTAACCCCGCTTCAAAATATGGGGGAAATATTCAGAAGTCTCACAGGTGATCAAGACATGCATCCAATTAAAACTTTAAAGATTTTTAAAACCCTCGTTCACTTTTTGTTTAATTTTGTAAAAATAATTGAGGGAAATTTGGGTGATTTTCCCGTCAAAGATGGTCACCCCTAAAAGTATAGTCCTGAAGCCCATTTTGAACAATTATTTCTCCAGTCTGTTTCAACATGAGCGACTTTGGGGTCTAATTTTATCCCAAGTTTCTCAGAAATACAAGTTCAAAGACCAGTGCAGGAATTTTGGGCTTATTTACTGGTCTGCACTCTTTGTGGAAAAAAAATTTGTCATCCACGGGGCTTTCAAAAGTGGTAAAAAAAGCGCCCTCTCTTGTTGGCGCATTGAGCCCATCGTGACCGATTCTGAGCTGATTTTTGCTCAATTCATTAGCAATATTTTACGCTAATAGGTGTACCTTAATTGTGCGACAGTGTAGAGCCATACTTTCTTTTTCTTTATTCATATTTTGTGAGAAGAACGAAACGTTTTTATTCTCTATGCATTAGGATTATGGAGTCCTTTAAAACGGTTGTTAATGAATAAATATGGCAGATTTTTGGAACTGACAAGTTAACGTGCGAGTTTTGGTTCTGTGGGAAAAAAATAATGTGAAGGGTTATCTTCAGGACAGCAAGGGAGAAAAGGGTTCAAAACCTTTGTTTTTCAACCCAAATAAAACTTGGATTTGGTATGATTTCTTTTTACATTGAAAAGGCTGCGTCATACATGTATTTAGTTTCGCATGCACAGATTTAACAGTGCCCTCTTCAAAATAAAGGAAACTATGGTTGCCATGATATTACACGACACGCATTTCTCATTAAGGTTTTCGATGAATCCATTTTCATGTAATTTGTCATCCAAAGTTTTCGTTCCCACTTGTTGAATAACTTTTGGATAATGTATTTGTTAATGAAATATTTCTTTGTGGGATTTTTTTTGGGGGGGGGTTGACTCATGTAAGAGAACTAAATCAGAAAAATAAAGTAATGCTTGGTTTCAAAGTAAATGTGGACTTTTTGTGTGCTTTTTGGAGTAGTGATTTGGATGAATTTGGAAAAGAGCAGTGAGAATTTTATATCGATCTGCAACATGTCTGACCATTTCCCCATTCGGTGGTCATGTTTGTCATTTTGTTTTGTACATATATATGTATCTTCATGAAATACACTTCAACAAGAAAATTAAAAAAACATCTTATGAAACTGGGGGCCGTAGGGTTGAAGTCGAAACCATTCGGTGACCATTCCAGACCTCTTATATGTGATCATTTCATTTCAATTTGCAAAGACAAACAAGTTAAATAACTAACCTAGAAAGTTCGTTATTTGAAAGAAAGCTGATTAGTAGGCCCCCTACATATTTGCTGTTTTTGTTTGTGACCCATTGTACCAATTAAAGGTTTCTTTTTCAATTCTACTTCGCCATTATTGCAATCCAACTGTTTTGTATGACAGTGTTTGTGTGAGGTCTAAGGGAAGAAAAATAAAGAAACTTCAAGACTGATTTGCAAGATTTGCCATAACAATAATCCCTCTCCCAGTCCCAGCGATTTTAACGAGCTCTGTGTTCACACAAATATTGATATTTTAATGGCTTCTTGTATTTGTAAGTTTGGAAGCTTATAATTATTATTAATATGCGATTGTTTGGCCAAATGCAGGGGCGGATCCAGGAATTTTTGCAGGGGGGGGGTCATCAGCAGAAAAATTCTGAAATGTAGACAGGTTTTTTTTTCTCCGGACACTAGGGGGGAGGGGGGGCTCGTACCCTACATTCAATGGGGGCGCTGTTCAAATCCGATGATCACATTATTTTTAATGTATTTCTATGAGAAAAAAAAATATTTGACAGAGCTGGGGGGGGGGTTTGACTTTGATTCTGCCAACCAATAAGAGACGAGACAAAATCATATGTATAAGTGACTGTTGTAATCAAGATTTTAGAATCAAGCCTATCCAAATTTTGTGTCTTTTTTAAGGGGGGGGGGGGGAGGTTGACATGTTTTGTGGAAATGTTCCATAATGGTTAATATGGAAGTATTCAACTATTTTGCCAACAGCTGTTGGCAAAACAAAACACAAAAAACACATTTTCGTAAATTCCTAGGAAATAAAAGCTGTGCTTGGTAATTGTGTGTTTGAATGCATGCACATGCCGGATCTAAGCAAACAGTGAACTTTGCCGATGGAAAAGCAGATGGCACATGAATTGTGTAGCATGCTCATTGTCTGAGCTTAAAGGGAATATACAACATTTGCAAACATCGAAAAATAAAACTACCAAGTTTTTGCGAAATACCTTAACAGGATGTTGGTAAATGACAGTCTAAAGCATCCTGTAAAATTATGGCACCTGGTATGCTGTCATTTTCAAGAAAAGTGGTATTTTTGTATCAATTTCCAACGCTGATCGGCCGATCAGCGTTGGAAACAACTGGCTTTTTTTCAAATACTAGCCCCAATTGACCATTGCACTTGTTTGCGATCGATTACAAACCTATAAACGGGTACGAGCCAGCTAGACTGGTTCCCTGACCTTACAATTCCCCCAAAGTATGTTAACTGCTCTGTTTCTTCTTATATGGAGTCAGGGAACCAGACTACAGGAAAATGATCGTTTTTCTTGGTTTTTATAGCATTTTCGAACCCAAAACCTCCAAAAAGTTAGTGTAACTATATTTGCTTTATATTTCCAACCCCCCAATTCCATCCATTTCTGAAAATTACAGCAAAAGCAAATGATGTATATTCCCTTTAATTCCGCCAAGTCCACACAAACAAAAAGTCTATTTCAAGGTCTGTTAAATGATATAAGCTCATTTTTCACATCTGGCTATTCTGCAATTGTGGTAAAATTTTGGCTCCATGTAATAGCAATATGTTAACTTCTCTCTCTCACCCCCCCCCCCCCTTTCGTCGTTCCAATTACATGAAACAGTTGCTCAGGGGAATTAACTCCAAGCTGACATAAAAATGTTTATCATTACTCGAAAAGCTTTTGTTAGATTTGTCTGTCCCGAAAGTCAATAAAAACAACACATGTTCCTTCAAAATGGTGTGTTTGAATCATACTATGTTAACGATTGGTTGAATGATGTTGTGTATGTAGACAATCATTCCTTAGTGTGGATTGGTCTCATGAATATTCATTATCATTTATGACTGGTCTGGAGGGTTAAGCTTTTTGTTACATCATCATGATGTCATCCTGAGGTTAGGCCAAAAAAAAAAAAATCGGTCTCTGGTCAGCGCGCGCGTCGATTTTAATCATGCGCGTCAATCTTTTTTTTTTCTTAAATGTTCCTCGGTAGCTCCAACAGCGCCCTCTATTGCCGCACCTCAATTTTTTTTACCAAAGAGCACCAAGGAATGGGAAATTGCACCACGGCAAATGATCGAGAGCACCAAAGCAAATTATGAAGGACACCAATGTACATGAGGACACCAAAAAAGCAAATTAGTACCCCACCTTGTCTGTACAATCCAAGCTTGAAGAAAAAAAAAAAAAAAAGCCGCGTCGCCGCGTCAATTCCGGAACTTTGGTTTGACCGGAGACCAAATATTTTTTTTTTTTTGGCCTTACACAAAAATTCACATTGTTTTGTACACCTGACAATTTCTTGACTTAACATATGTACATTAATTGCCAACTAAACTGTACCACTTATACTTATGCAGATAGATGCAAAAGATGTTTTTTACCCATTCTATTTTATATTTTATCGGCAATGAGGTTGCAATTCAGTACATTTTAACGATCAAGCTTTTATGGTGCCAACAGATGGTAGGATTTAATATCTCATTAATTTACTATGTGTTTGCATGTTGGAAAAAAACCCCTCTTGTTACGGCCTAGGAAACATTATTACAGTCGTTAAAGTAATTTGCCTGTGTGTTTTTTTGCCCATAAATTTGCAAGTTTGTTTTGGGGATGACCTATTGTCGTTACAGAAGCCACTCAAGAAGTGGTCGTTAACATCATGTTCATTGATATAGTGAGTACTTTGATATAGTGAATACTTTGATATAGTGAATACAGGGATGATCCCAAGGTATCACACTCGGTGGGGGGAGGGGGGTTGAGTGGGGAGGGGGGGGGGTGATTGCTTTTCTGTTTTCTTGTAGATCATGTTGGTCATGTTGTTGACCTGTTGTGTGTCTCTGTAGGCGGCATCTGGTTCGGCGTATTTAGTTATTTTATTTCTTATTTTAACTGGGTAGCCCATTCAGTGGAATCCACTGATCTCCCATGGGTCCCAGTAAAGAGAAGACAGTGTGAAGAAATTACAGTTTTAGAGGTGGGAGGAAAAGCCCAGAAGAGTATTCTGAGGAAAACCCACGGAATCAGGTAGGGACTGAAAACCCAATCCACATATTGGCCCGGGCGGGATTCGGACCCGGGTCACAGCGGTGGAAGGCGAGGAAAGTACCGCTGCACTGACTCCCCACACCAACCTGACTCCCCTAGTCACACCCCCCCCCCCCCTATACCCACCAACTTCCTAGCTGGAGTTACCTCAGCCCTCAACCTCGTCCCCAGTGCTTACTTTATTTCCAACCGCGTTTCCAATAGTAAACCCTGGATAGGAAACTTTCTTCCTGTATCCGGATTGGATACCGCAATTGGCTAGTAATGGATTTTTATCGTGTACTTGGTGCTATATATTCACAACGTGCAGTACGTGTTTTCGCGATCATTCGTCCACGCCTTCTCGAAAATACTAATTTCCTTTCCAATTTGCTCATATTAATATGAAATATGATACTGCATGTTGTCTCGATAAGATCGTAACAGTTTGATTTCAAAAATCGTGTTTTCGTAACTCACACCGTGCTCGCGCTGCTACGAATTGACTCTGTTTTTACCCCAGACACCGCATACAAAAACAAACGCTAATGTGTAACGCATATCCAGGCACCAGACTGTTCCTCATTTGCATACGTGTGCAAAAATCTTGCACATGCAAATGATCCAATACCAGGGTGAGAGAGCAGGTAGTGGTGGGCGCGTACTGCTCGACACCCTGGGTACGAGGTTGCCTCAGCCCTATCATTGGGTTGTCCTATGCCTATAAGACAACTCAATGATATAATACAGGGCTGAGGTAACTCCAGTTACCAACTTCCCAACTTATTACTGTGTTCAGGGGAGCCTTTTTGGAACCAGGTACTTGACATGTGAGTTTCATAGTATCCATCCATTCCAACAGTTATCAGTGGAAAATGATGTAAAATGTAGAGAACATTGGTCAACACTTATTTACGTTTGACAAACCTTTTGGCTTCATTCAGCACCGTTTCAAGTTCCGGCATTAGGGGGCCACATTGCTGTCTAGGAAGGGGGGGGGGGACACCACAAGAAAAAACACCATTGCAGAAAATTGTTAGGCTTATTTTTTGGCCAATTGGGGGGGGGGGGGCAGTTGATGGGGGCAGAGGGGCCCTCTGCCCCCCCCCCCCCCCTCTCCCAGCAACAGGCCTGGCTTCATTCCTAGATGGAATAAGACTTGTTCTGTAGTAAAAAAAAATGTTTATTGCATTTTTCAGTTTCTCGTTTGAGTTTGACCTAACAAAAATGGAGTACTATGTATATGTTATGCATGAAAAATTGAAATAGATTTGTTCCTTTATTTTTTTGAAACAGTCATTACAAAGTAGGACTTGACATTTGATATCTTAAGGCATTTTGGTAAGAATTTAAAAAAAAAAATGAAAATTAAGAAAATCTTAATGTTCTGTAAAAACAGAATTCCAAGGCGATTCTTAATCGAATAAAATGCACAAATGACAGTTATTCATCTGTTGACAAAAGAACATCCTAAATTACAGTCGATCAGGAAAGCTAGAATTGTGCCCATTCAACTATTCCACATACGTGACGTTTGCCGTTTAGGTGTGGATTCTCTTCAGCAAAGCTCCCCTCAGAATAGATCCAGAGATGGAGATCGCTCTATTTGTATTCGTTCAGATTTCAGATGCGTTTATGTATAATAATATAAAAAAAAAACCGCAATATTTACTTACACCTCTCTCCGCGACTCATCTAGCCCGGATGAATCGTTCCATTTACCACCCGTCGTCTTTGATTACAATGTAAAGCCTCCTTGTCGGATCTTTACACTCGGAACTAAGGAAAGAAAGTGGACTCAGGGAAAAAAGGAGGACCTCTCTGATACAAAGAACTCGGCTGCCGCAGCATCACGTAGAGATGGTAACCTTGGAAACTAGTCCATGGGGGGGGGAGGAGGGAGAAGAGAGAAAGCATTTGCAGGTCTCTGTTCTCTGTTCACGAGGGTCACGACGTTTGCGTCAGACGAGGAAATAGACTTGTACCGTTTGTGTGCCAATTGTATGTAGAGTGTATTATGTGACACACTTGAATCAGATCTTTTGTGTGTGCGTGTCGGCCATTTATACTCGCTGGTTTATATTGAGAGCATGTTCAAGAAATAGCGGCTCGGAATCGTTTAGAGCACTACTGTTTCCCTTGTGTCATTGTTGCGGTTTCGATGCGATTGAATATTTACGTTTCTTTATTTTGGTTGAATAGGCCAGTTTATTTTCAGCAGTCTTTTTCCAGATTTCTGAAATGGGCCTTGTGTTTGGCCTTTTTTGGGGGGCTGCCTGCTTCGTAATCCCTTAGGAATGTTGGGTTTCAATGTTATCTGGAATTTTAATTTTAAATAAGCAAACTTCCTTTTTTGGATTGAGAATTGCCAACTTTAATAGTTTTGCGCGTCAAACTTTTGTGGCCTTAGCTATGAGTCATTTTCATTTCGTGATCCGTATTCATTCATTCATGTCTGGGCCGTTTATGCCAAGCGATATCTTTGTCGAGCACAGTCTTGTGCACTTGTTGTTAATATCAAATTATTGCCTTTTTGCAGCGATTTAAATCAAAAAAGGGAAAATATTGTTGGTAAGACACGAGCATCAGAGAGTATCCAAATTTCAGACTTTTGTTCCCCTTTCCGAGTAATAATTAATTAGAAAGGTTTCTTTGTTCCGATCTTGAGGACATCTGAATGTCCATTGTCCAAGATAATGGCTGCATCACAGTCAAGGAGCAAATGACTTCATGTCATTCTTGAACTAACAAAACATTTTTTTTACTTGAGCAAACAAGAAATAATGTCTTCATTCAGTACTATGTTTTAACAAAATCACAAGGGGTTAGTTAACCTCATACTTGATATTCTGGCTCAAAATTGAAATTTGGTAAAAATGTAGCCGACAACAAATAAAAACACATTGGCCCGCTGTTTGCACATAATTTTTCTTTTATTGTATTCTTGACATGACCACACAGTGCATACAATGTAGAAGACTCTTAATATGTTACACAGCACCGGGAAACTTAAAACACAGGTGGGACTATCATGGGCTTTACAATTATAAATGAGATGTAAAGTACACACACCACGAAGAAAAAAAACCCAAATTGCTTCTTCCAAAGAGAATATCTCTGTTCTCAACGGTGGGATGAGGAAAAGGTGGGTTTGATAGATTTTTTTTAATCCGATAGGATTTTTGAATGGAAGAAATTTGTTTCAAATCAGTACAAGAATTCAGCGTAGTTTGGACACAGTCCAGACAGTCTTACAATGAAGGCTTTTGAAAACATAAAGGTTTGTGCAACGTTACTGTCTGCGACGTGTTCTGTCAAAACTGGACGCTTCTGGCCAGAGTTTGAAACGGAGAATTTTGGAGATACAACCCCCCCAAAAAACAGTCTGGGATAAATTCTGCGTGTTTTGCAAATTTGTGATCTCAAAACTTGTCTAAAATTTGGGAGCACAATTTTGCCCCAAAGAAGTTTTTTTTTCTCATAAGTGTTTTTGGGTAATGATGTATCAGTTCAAGAAACTCTCTCGTTAATGCTACCTCACAGAAATTTACCAATTTTTAACAGCATAATTTCGCCACGGAATTTCCGTTTTCAAAAATTAAAGTATCATTTGTAAAGCAGAAGATCTACATGTATTTATTAACGGTATTGAATTTTTTTTTCTCAAATTACCAGTTGCCCAGAAGAGTCCGTTTTTGACAAAATCCATCAAAACTGTGTTGAATTGTGATCCAAATCTGACACTTAAAGTGATGTTAAAGTGACACTCATATCACACAGGGTATCAACTATATTTTCTTTGTTACATTAAACCTTGGTGTAAATAATTATCCAAGATCACACTGTGAACAAAAGAGAATTCAGTTACTCCACCGTGCAAGGCTGATCTATTTCCTGCAAAAACTGATTTTCTTTAATTCCTTAATAGAAAATATTGCTTGTTTCCTGAAGGAAAAAAATTCTTGTCACTTTCCCTGGAATTATTTTCTAGGGAATGAGACGAGAACATTTGTCTTGATCTCATCCTTGGTTTTTACCTTTCAAATGTTAAGAAATCCAATTTTAGCATTGTAAAACCTTAAATTGGAGGGAGAAATATGAAAATGTTTTGAGATAAAAACGTGAGAGTTACGTAATGTGGTTAGTATTAAAATTTGCAGTCTTGAAGTCAGGATTCTTGCTGATCTGTCCAACAGAAACACATGAACAAAATACGCTTATCCCCATATTTTGGGGGCTCAAAAAAGGATCCAACCACACGCACTAGCGGCACTACCCTGTAAGTATTAGGTAACTTCATTTTTCACAGTGACGCAAACGAATAATACATTTTTAGCCCTAACTTCGACCGAGTTCCAAAATTGCAAGATCATCCATGATGTACTTGGCTGTTCCATGAGAATTAAAGATTTGAAATTAAGAATAAAAAGATTCATTGACAAAAATGTGTCATGTCAGATATTAAACAAAGAAACTTCATTTGAAATGTAGAACATCCTACGTACAGCCCATAAAACATTGCTCATAAGTTAATTAAAACAGACACCTACACCAGATAATTTTTCTTATAATATATATATTAATTTGTATAACCCTCTTAAGACAAGAAAGCACTCCAAAAACAATCATTTAAATGATTGAAAAACACCAACACAATTTTTTTTCTGTACAACACAATCTACAAACATACACAAAAAATGCTGAAGACACCCATTTTTTAATTTTTTTTTTTATATTTTTTTTTTTTGGTAGTTTTCTTTTCTTTTCCAAATCCTCAGTGACCATGTTAAATATTGGAGACCAGCTCCGAAACATTTACAAACAAGAGTCCCTGTTTTTTCCCTCCACAAGATTATTTTCCAGAGGACAATTATACAAATGCATGACTTTCTTTTCTTTGATGGTAATATGTACAGGCGAAATACTGTCGGTGGTTTTTTTTTTTTTTAGTTTGATATCCCACACACACAAACAAAAATGATTAAAATATCCTCTTCTGAACATCTGAAACCATTCCTTACAAGACACAATTCTAAATTCTCCAGCTAAAACAACCATTCATAAACTTCCTCATTTCCGTACAAAAAAAACCTCTAAAAATTGACATTATATTTTAACACCATTCTACAACGTGAACCAAATGACAACAGCACTAGAAGATTGTGACGTTAAAATGTTACACAATTTGACACCCGCCGGACCATAAACACTTTATAAAAACACAATTCACAACTCAAGCAGATAAAAGGCATATTGTCGGTTTCTCAAAATCTCTCTTTTTGCAAGAAATGGATGAAAAATCGGTGGGTTCAAATCAGATTATACATCCTCAAAGATACGAAACACATCCAATCTAAGCTTCCAACTACAAAGAACCGTTCCCATATCTTTTCTACCACGCAACAGGATCAAAAATATATAAATATATTTATATATATATATGACTTTGTTTTTTAATAGTGACCGCCAAAATTTTATCTTTGGCTAGCGTGTGTGCTTGTGTGAAATACTTTTAAAAAAACACACAATTAAAGTGAAATATTTACAGAATGTTTTTCGGTGGAATCGTGGATGACGACAAGGCAATAATCAACATGTGCTAGTAACAACCTGGTACAATAACCTTGACTAGCGCTCAGCGAAACACATCAAAAGTGCTCTACTTCTAGCCACATTACGCAACACAAAATACATGGTCACAGGAAGAATGGGACCAATGATTTATAGGTACCAGCATTTTTTTTTCAATTTTTTTTATTTTCACAAAAAAAACTTGCAAAATTTGAGGGATTGTCAAATGATATAATAATGTTACAAAATGAACTTTGTGTGATAACCACAAAAACGTACAATCTTGTTCCGTAGTTGTGGGGACATACACTTGTCTGTGCAAGGTATTTGTGGGGATCGAAAATGCTGTGGGCACAGCAGAAAGTCCCCATAACTCGGTCCTAATTTGCCTAACAAAAAAAACTTTACCCACGTTCACATGTCCCTTGTTCTGTTTAATATAATGAGAGTGTATGTAAGTAGGATTTGTCAGGGCAACTGGAAATGTAACTATTACTTTAGAACAAACTGGTTTATTGGGGGGCATGACTGCTTGTACTATGATCACAGCAGCCCTGTTTACATTATCTAGCACATGTTGATCAATTCAGCTGTCTTTTTAAAACATTTCTTTCTTTCTGCTAAAAAAAAATAACCATGAGAGGGGCATTTTCTTTTATAAAGTCGGAGGTCAGGTTTTTGCTTAAACTCTATATTATTTACAGAACATTTTCTCTTTATTCCAACCCAGTGTTTTGACACTGATATTTATACATGTAATACACTATGTACAATAATAATGCACAAGGTTTTTCACACAAAAACAAGAGAGAAAAACTACTCTTTAATTTAAAAATTGAGTTTTTGGTATATTTATTAAAATGAACTTTTGGTAATTTTTGTTTAATTCATTTTTCTTACTTATTTTTTTTAATTTTATTAGGTTTTAGGAATACGTTAAATGTGGAACACGGAGAAAGGTGTACTTGTACATTGTTTGTACTGTGGTCTTTGACACAGTGCGCACTTGTTCTTGACAAAAGATACCAAAAATTGAAATCGCAACATCTCCAAATTTGACTGACGCTTAGCTTCAGAAATTTGTAGTATCACGGCCTTGGTACCAGACCAGAAGGGCGCCCTGTAACACACCCAGAACAAATTCACGAGAATATCACGACGGATCTTCCAAAACCTGTTAGGAAAAATCTGCTCAAGTTACACTCAAGCAAAATGAGATTAAAAATTTTGGGATCTACTATTTTTACACACAAAAAATATACATGTACTCATAACTGAGCATGTGCATTGCATCGGAGGGTAATCTCAGCACGGAAGGGGAAATCCGAGCACGGGGGTGGGGGTAATATCCCAGCATGCCTCAGGACTTAGCCATAGCCACTGCGTTGAGCAGGTAGGGCATGTACAGGAGTTTGCACTTGCAGAGGAGTTCGGAGCACTTGCGCAGTTCGGGCAGTTGGCTCATCAGTTCCTCGAAGCGACTCTTATGGTGGTTGACTTCAACAAAGTCGCGAAGGGCCAAGACGTAAGGATGCTGGACCTGTCGGACCAAATCGTTACTGGCACCATTTTCTGCAAGGTTGGAAAAAAACAAAGGGAGAAAAACACAAAATTGAGCCTGGGAACTCACATTTACATTTTAAAGTTTTCAAGTTGTATGTTCTTTGTACTTCCTTCTGATTTGGGGCATCTGCTTCACTCTGAAAAAGGGCACTCATTTTGTACACAAACTAATTTTCAGTGGATTTTTTTCGTTTTGATGTCTCACTCAAAAGTGAGTAACTTTTATATATTGCTAGGAAAAATAGCAATTGAAATCTATTCTTCGAGGTGAAATGCAAAATAGCACGGGGAATGGATCTTTAAACTCAGTATTCGAGAAATTTTCTGAAGTTTAAATGACCATTGTTTTGGATAAAGAGGTGCCATTTTGGAAAGATACACAAATGCCTTCCTGAAATAAGTGAAGTATTTCAGGAATTTTCTTGTGTCGAAATTTGCCAAAATGACATCTATGAAATCGTTACTGGTACCGTTTTCTGCACGGTTGACAGAAGTGAATAAACTACAGACACGCAAAGGAGGAGAAAAAAAATCGGAGCATATGAATCGTTTTATTGGCAATTTTGTTCACGTGATACCGGTACATTTCTCTCGCAAACACTCAATACTTAAGAAGTTTTACTTGCGTCAAAATGTTACAAAAATGATCGTCCTGTAAAATGACACCTCATGGATTAAGCCACTATAGCTTTCCGTCAAATTTGCGGGGTTAGGGGAAAAAAGACAAAGGCAAATCCAAACATTTGCTCCCACGTTCATTGTCGTAAGTTGGCAATCGTGGTTTATGAGTGAGTCATGACGTCTCCCGGCTTAACCACACGCAAGTCAAGATTTATCACCAAAAAAGAAATCCCCCTCTGTCTCTTTCAGTCTAACAATAGGCAGGAATGGACCGGAGCGACAGGCTAACAAATGGTCATAAGCTGTTGATTGGCCAATGTCTCATCCATGGAACGACTTCCGGTTGCCATGGTAACTGGACATAAGAGACGAGCCGAAGGGGCTGATGCAGGAGGCGGGGGATTTGGGGGAGGATGATGATTTGGGGGGGGGGGGGCTGGGACAAGAATTGTCCAATGCACTCAATTGGGCTGGCCATACTGACTTGTAAATCAGCCTAAATTTTGGTCAAACCCCCCCCCCCCCCCCTTTAAAAAAGTTTGAATGACAGGAACATGTGTCAGTGTAATCATGTTTAATACTTGCCGTTATCTACTCTCTGACTGAAAGGTTGTTTCATGAGGTTGTGCTCTCTTAGGCTCCAATTTGTAAATTTTCCAATTTAATCCACAATATTAAAATCTGATTTTTTTCCCCAGCATCTATAAACACCAACCTTACACAGGTCTGTGTAACAACATTTGCTATATAATACTAACCCCCAAATCCCTTCATTTCTGAAAATTCCAGCAAAAGCAAATGTTGTACACTTTAAGCACAATTGTGTTCGTACTGAACTATTGCAGGGTACAGTTTGACCCTAACCCACCAAGATCTTTCAAAATCCAACAAGAGGTTTTAGTAGGATTTTGTAGGACTGAGGAAGGTAGAGGCCAGGCACTGTTACTTTTACATAAGGCTTGATGTCCCTTGAAACTTTGTGTAGGGACAAAGAGTGTGCCATTGGGTTCCCGCACAGTGGAGGATTTTGTAAGATTGAGGAATGCAGCACCCAGGCACTGTTTTACATGAGGCTTGATGTCTTGGCAAAGTATCAAGTATGTGCCACTGGCTTTCTGTAGAGTGGAGGATTTTGGAGAACTCAAGAAAACGCCACACAAAATTTCCTTAGGTTTAAGGAGTTATGGTTGATTTTACAAAAAGCTTGTTCATTTTCTGACATCAAGTGCACTTTAATTTTGTTGAGCTACATGTTCCTGGAAATCCCTGCCCATGTTTTATTCATCTTTGCCTGAATCAGGCTTCGATTCATTCAATAATTAATCATTCCAAAAAAAAAAGCTGATGGCAGAATATGTACAAATATCCACCTCCAAAGTATTTTTAGTATTTTTTTTTTAACGGAAATGGTACTGGTATACTCTCCCATAATCTAAACAAAAACCCCAAATGTTTATCTGGTGAAGAAAACATGTTTAATCACCCTCACAAACGCAAGAAAAACCGAAACTTTTGAATCGACTCATCGCAATTTGTACCTTCCTCAACTCGTGAGAGAAAAGACAAAATTGTGGTCAGCGTTTTTGTTAGATGTACACGTTTTACAAGGAAAGACAAGTATGTATTTATATTTCTTTTTTTTGGTTTAAAGTCTGTGGGTGAACTGCACTCACGCACTCAAAGTGCAACTGGCAGGGTAAAAAAAGTGCAGTGGGACGTGTCACCTCTGCATAACATTAATATCCTATCGTCGTCGCATCAATACATTTTTCCCCCGTCTTTTCATACTCGTTTGCACAGTGCTGCCTCTTTCATTAGATAAAGGGTCGGAACAACAATACTGGAAAATTGAAAGGGGGGGGGGGGGCGACCAGAATCTGACAATTGTTTGAATCAAGTCCACCTTCAGGGATATTGAGGAAAATGATATACGTGTATTTCTAGGACTGAGCAAATGCATTTCATCAAAGTGAAAGCGATTTCCGCTGCACAACTTGTGATAAAATTATTTGAAACTAAAACTTTACGTGTTGATGTCTGAGTGATTTATTGCATGGGTTCTGGTTTTTTTTATTTGTTTTTTTTTTATTTTTTACTTTCTGTAATTGAAAGGGATTATATACAGTTAGGAACAAAACCTGTTCCTATCTTCTCAAAGTTTAGTTGTGTTTACGTTAACAGATGCGCTTTTACTTCAGATTATTTATTTATAACTAATATCATTTTTCCTTTTCCTTTTTTTTAGACATGGCCCAAAGGAAAAGGAAATGTACACCCACACTCAAATACATTGGTTGTGATCAAACGTAAGCTCAAATTTGGTTAGTCGAACTCACTGATTTCATTTAAAACGAAAAACAATAATAATTTTACACTTCCAATAAAGGATTTTTCTCCCAATCGCCGTAAGAGGAAAAAGTCTTAAATAAAAGAAATTAAATTGGTACTCCAAAAGTGCAAGTTTCTTCAACTAAAGCAGTGTCTAGTATGTACATGTATATCCACATAAGGGTTCATATTCTTTTGTTCATAACTCCAAAAGAAGCAAAAACAAGTGGAAAAGACAGAGAGTGCTGAGAATCAAGGAAATAAAAAAAAATTAAACTAACAAAATCACAAGAAGAAACCTGCGAGGCAGGGCAATCACCCTGTCTGAGAGAGTCTTCTCCCACCGGCCAATTGTATTCCTCAAGAAAAGTGCAAGACACTTCGCCTGCACTTTGCGCCGAGCCCCGTCAAATACTGTCACCGAGACTAACAATGAACTTCCTTAAGGCAAGACATGTACTGGCTGCGCACACACACATTACCACACAGTCTGCCTATTTAGCACATCGTACGTCATTCCACCAACACAAAAAAAAAATGCCCCATTTTTTTTATTCTTCTCTTCTAGCCTCTTCTTTCTCCAAAAAAAAAAATCCTTTCTCTATTCTTTCACTGCCTCTCTGTCTCTGAAACGTGAATGGACCTTATATTCCGGGAGACTGGACAATAGTGCACAGACGGGGAGAAAAAAAAAACCTCGGGCCTACAGCCACTGGCTAGGCACAATGTGGCTATTGCGGGGATTTTCGCCTCAAGGGGAAAGGGAAACGACCGTGGACGGATAGATTTCCAAACCCAGAGCAATCCACACCTCATATTCTCTCTCTCTCTCTCTCTCTGGAGTAGACAGCATTTCACGAGGTGTCATGACGTATGTCTTGGGTCATTTGAAGAGAGTGTTTATTTTTAGCCGATATAATAGCAATTCTTTTTTGGGATAGCTATTGGTACAAGGAAACCACTGGAATTAGTAACTGAAGGTTAATTTTGGACCGAGTCCTGGCCCTGTTTAGGTTTCACAGAAACTACATTTAGAATCCATTTCTGTTTGATGATACTATTTCAGATAAGTCTTAATTTGAGAACTAAAAATGAGTTTTCGTCCAGTCACGTGTCATTATGGATTACCGGTACATGTGCAATCAAGATGTAGTTGGTACAAATTATAAATGAAGAACAGAAGCCAGGTACAAACTTTCTCATTGATCTCAACAATCAAATTGGAGGATGCTGGCAAAAATATTTGATTTGGCTACAAAGTAGAATTTCAGTAAAGTTGAAAATGAGTAAACTGTAAAATAAAAGTACCTGTAGCCCCAAACCAAACGATTTTGAATTGTGGAAAAATTAGCAAGCAGTGCTCTTGTGCGCTTGTGAAGGTAAGTTTCAATACATGTACATCCAACTCTCAACATTAGTTACTGTCATTTCATAGAATAACTGGTTGAAGTAGAATTTACAAACAAGTGCAAAGTTAGAAAAAAAAACGAGGAAACTCCAAACCACACAAGACTTTGTACAGTATTTTTTTCAATTTGTAATGGCATTGATGAGAAGTAAAAAATGAGGACATCAGTGGATCCGAAGAAAAGTTGCATGCCTGAATTTAGTTGGGACGTGGACAATTTGAGGAAATCAGCGGATCCGAGGAAAAGTTGCATGCCTGAATTTAGTTGGGACGTGGACAATTTTATGATGAGAAACAAAACCACGCGCCTCTCCAAAGCAATGTTGCTTTTTTTACATACACCATGCAAGCATGTCAGACTATTACGCAAGCATGTCAGACTTCAATCGCAGTTGTGATTGGTCACAATCCACTGGCCAGGGCTGAACGGCTCAGTCTATTTAACTACTGTGGAGATTAGACTGGAATTGTAAACACACTGTGAAAGAAGACACGTGTTGACAGACTTACTGAGATTGAGCAGGACGATGACTTTCAGCAAGAGGTACTCGTTGCGGGAGATGTTGAGTGTGCGGAAGGACGCGGCCAGCCGTGTCAGTTCCTCTACCGCCTCCCCCATCTCCTCACGGAACACGCCCATGTCCAGCTTGAGGTCCATGGTCTTGTTCATGCACTCCTGCAACGTCAGCAAGTTCTGGTGTACGCAGTGCTCAAAACCCAGCACTTTCTCCCCGCTGTTCTGTTTGAAGTACATGGCCCGGGCCACCGTGCACAGAATCAAGAGTTCCACCCATTTGGTCTTGAGCATGTAGGTGTGCTCCACGGGGGACAGCTGGGTGAAGAAAGGCAGGTGTTTGACCCACTGGACCAGGTTGAAGACTAGGGAGTCACCTAAGGAGCACTGCTGGTGAGTGAACTCGTCCAGTCCAGGCAGTCCTGGGTTTGGGGCGCGGTAGGGGGATGGCCGTTTTTGCCGGTGTTCTCTTTGGTGGACATTTTGAGGACCGCTGATTCCGTTTGTTGGAGGACCTCAATCAGCTGCGCCGTCTGCGGCCGGAGTTGCCGGACGTCGAGTTGCGATTGATGCTTGTCCCTGCCTCCGCCGCTGTTACTACTACTACTACTGTTGCTGTTCTCGGAGGGGCTTTGTGTCAGAGTCTTAGACTTCTGGTCCTTCTCGGATTTGAGGGTTTCCCTGGCAGCCTTCAGGGCTTGCTTGTCAGCCCGGTTTTTGCGGCTCAGCTGGGCCTTCTGCTGGGCAATCTGCTGGAACTTTTTCCGGAGTTTGTCGTAGTTCTTGGGTTTGCACTGTTCGACAAAAATAACAAGAACAAACCAATGATCAATTTGAATAAGCAAACTTTTGAAAAGAAAAAAAAATATAATAAAATAGAAGTCTTACAGATTTCTGTTGGCTACCATTGTATAATGCCGCAACCATGTTCGGCTTTCGAAGTATACAGTTAATGGAAAATCAAAGTGCAGCTGTCAAGTAGACTGGTAACTAGTATGAAGCTAATGGTTTCATATTGATCTATGCATCACACCCCTTGGGAACCTGACCAAACGGAACAGATGTCGTTATGTTCCGGCTTTACCCACCCACCCATCCACCCACAGACGGATCATAAAAAATGTTTTTCTAAAAAAATTGCCACTTGTTTAGATTCTTTCATGGGCCCGCCTCCTCCAACCATGATCTCCCTTGTCAGTACTTTTTTTTCACCGCTTGCCCTCCATCCGTGTAAAAAGTCATTAGGTTTGCCATGTCAGGCAGCGATGTGTCTATTGTTGTTGCCAAGTCCAGTGCGAGCAGTTTATAGCTATTAAGCACACTCAGCAGGGGTGCCTCTTACAGCCGTCCGTCAAACATGGTTCGGCAAGACGAATAGACGCACACAAAAAATTGTCAATGGGAAAATGATTTCAGTACGACACAGACTTTTGGATGGTTGAGAAAAATAAATTTTCCAACGCAGACATATTTTTTCCCTAAAACTCAAAGACCAAAAAGGAATATACCGGTAATGGGAAATTGCTGATGAAACCAATTTCAATTTAATGCAAACATCATTATTTATGGGGTATTTAGTTTTCAAGTATGTTGACCGCCATGGAAACTATATACCTGTATAAAAAAAATATTTGTTAAAATTTGACTGCCAAATTGGTTTTCCAGTAAATAATGAATAATTGGCAGGATTAATATTCTCATTAGTTTCTGTTTGAAATACAACTCAAATTGAATGTGGGGGTTCTCCCCTGACTCCTCCATCCCACCCCCCCCACCCACCCCCCATAACATATACATGTATTACAATAATTGGGTCAAATATAAAATTAAAAAACTGATGAAATTGGAAGAGTAAATAATCATGCATGTACTGGTAGGGAATAAACACTGTGTATTTGTCAGGGTAGTGGAACTGCCAGCTTGATAAGTGCATGCTCTTAACGATTAGTTTAGCAGGGTTGCTGGTAAATTGGAGTGTGCCACCTTGTCCTTTGGGTTTTGAATCTTAATGACGGCTGTTCTTCTTTTTCTTTTTTTAAGACAAAAAATGTACCAGCATCAGTGTCCATGCTTTGTCGGGAAACAAGCCCACAGTGTATGTGGATTTATATTGTTTACGTTCCGTTTAAATCAAATTTTGATCGCTTTCGAAGTCTTGTTCGAGAATAAAAGTGAGATTTGTGAGAACTTCCACATATGAAGGCTTCTAAAAGGCTGGTTCACACTTGGCGTGAATGTGAACACAAATGTGAATCTGCAATGATGATAAACTCTCATGATTATAATTCACAAAGTTTAAGCACATTTTGACTCTGGTGGTTTCTCAACATCAAATTCAATCTGTATTTGGCTGAGCATTATGAACTGGAATTTAGTATATTCGGTAAGCTTGACTTTCACCCAGATTGATTAATTTTCATGTGCAAGCAAATTAACAGATTTTATGATCCAAAAAATATGGTCATGAACACCAACTCCCTCCCCACCCCCCCCCCCCCCCCCCCCCCCCACCCCACCCTGCCCCAAATAAAATCAATCATTGAAACTAAAAATCCTCTGGTCAAGGGTATGTATACATGTACACTGTAAAAACTCCCCCCCCCCTCCCCTTCTCCCAACCCCTCCCACCCCAAATTAAATTAATAATTAAACCTAAAACTCCTCTGATACCATAAAATGTATCAAACAGACCAGTGTAACCTACATACTGTCCAGAAAATTAATCATTGATATAGCAACATTATTCAGTGACTTTGTGCCTCTCTCGCTGTCAATTCCAAAAAATTGGCGAATGTACATGTACATAAACCTGTCTTCGTAAAAAGGGCAATTTTGTGTTGTTTCCTATGAAATTCATTCATGTTAATCCTCTGCAAATAAATCATGTAGCATTACTCAAACTTCATGCTTGATATATCCTGTTCTATTTACCGGTATGAAGCCAGTGCCAGGATTTTTTTTGTAACTGTTTTTTGTTTTTTATATTCGAGGGGATTTGCGTGCAGGTGTTACCTAACCCTATCTCGCACCATGAATGGAACATTCCTTTTTTGACGTCAATGAGTAGCGAGTCATCGTCCCACCTGATAATTACCACCTCAAAATAGGTAAATCGAGAATCGAGATCAATGTACTGAGGTGAACTGCATCCAGTATAAAAAAAAATAAAAAATAAAAAAAACCGGATGGCTGGGCTGCTGTAGCTGTTAATACTGCAAATATACAGAAACGCACACACTGGGGAATATGGAAGTTTGAAAAGCTTTGCTAGTCCGTTCCAGTGGACAATATGGTCGGCCCGTGACGTACGGCGTAGAATTAATGGGACTTTCCCCTGCCGGTATTGTCCACAAAGTAATCCATTCTGGCTACAGATCGTCCCCCGATGACTCTTGTTTTTTTTTTACCCGATAAGGAAGCCATTAACGTTCATGACGTTGAGAGCACACAATGGGATTTTCCCGGGCTAAAATCATTTCCAGAACGAGCGATTTCTGGTAATTTCCCCTTGATGATCTGGAGCTTTCATTTTAGTACTTGTATTGTGTTAAGGAGAAACAATACAATTTATTCCTTCTGTGAATTGCAGAAATTTAGAAATGTGCTCCCCTGGATATTTGCTCATAAATCCAATTTTCCTTTCTCCATTTTTACTGTCTGTTTACGGACAAATATTACAATGAAACAAAAAAATTTGTCCCTTTCTTCTTTGATTGGAATTTGTTTAACGACATGGATTAGTTCAGATTAACGTTATTCTGCACTGTAATGTTGTAATGATTTACAATTGCATTTGGGAAAATGAGATTTACTGCTCAGACGAAGAATGGACTTTGTAATGGGCACTTTGTTATGTGTGTGCAGCAATACCTGTGTGTATTTACATGTAAGCACAAACATATGGTCATTTCAGCTTCAACAGCCTTAGTTCTTGTTCAGGTTATTGTTACTCTCTTAGTTCTTTTGTATTTTGTTCTACCCTTCAGTTGGTCCGTTCAGGTTTCCTGTTTCAAATAATGTAGTATCATCTCTCCTCCATATATTAACTATTGTACTATTATTTTTAGTGCTCTATTTTGGCCAAGTTTTCCGACAATTTGGCAAATTCTGGTATCAGCTGATCCATCAGAAAGGCACCATCAGCAAAACAAGGAAACAAAATGCAAATCGCTTTCATAAAATTTATCCCGCAAATGATAAAATGAACGTGGGATGAACAATCTTCACTTCATTTCTCTGGAAAAGTGGAATAATGATAAATTATAATTTTATTGTAATTTTGTTGTTTCCTCTTTTTTTTCTTTTTTTTTTACCTTGTATGAAAGTCCTGTGTTTCGACCCCCGGGCATTCGGTCCTCTCGAACAGCTGCAGAGAAACGATACAACAAAGAAACACAAATTACATTTTTGTAAACTATTTTCATAATAACATATCAAACATAGAAACCATTCCATTCTTATGGGTAAAAAGCATGATGCAGTTTAATACCCCACAGCCAGTAGGATTTCAGTTTTGAAATGTTGTTCACATTTCATGTTTGGGAGTGTTAACTACTTGACCAAGCGCCGACAGAAAAAAGACGGGTACCGGTATACAAACAACGCCAAGTGGCCAATAAAGAGGAGGGACAGCCCCCACCTGCACTTTTGAAAAAAAAAAAATTTAATTTGTGCAAATAAAATAATATCAAAATCAATCAATTTGTTAAAAAAGAAAAGACATTCTGTTTAACATACTATAAAACAGATATCTAAAGCAACTGTTGCAGAGCATGATTTTATCCATACAAATAGACACACTCATCAAAATCAAATTATAATGAAAAAAACCTTTTAAAAATCTTCCCGATGTTGAGCAATATTCTAATCAATGAATGGGAGGTTTGCGTGGTATAAACACCATGTGAATGAAAGATATATATCTCTTAGTGAGTTGTGTGGTTCTGAGAAGAACCAGTTGGTTTAACTCGTCATTTCGAACAGTTTGCTCTGCTCATCATCAGGAGACACTTCTTCCGTTCTCAGAACCAGACAACTCACTGAGAGATCTATATATATTTCATTCACATGGTGTTACCGCAAACCTATCATTCAATGATCATGTCCACCATGCAAACCCTTAAATCTTATTTAATATTCTAATTATTTATAATGGACAATGTACCAGTATTGCAAAATGTACACGTAAGTCTTTCCAACAACACAGCCTCACGGCATTAATATGTTGCATAGCAACACTTATTTTTTATTTTTAACCAAATATTATCAGTATGATTAGCGAAAATAATGAGCTACTCATTCATTGTCTGTATGGTGGAGGTTCATTTCATAGTGGTTGAGCGATTTGACATTTAGACGTAGATGCAATATTAATTACTGACATACTACATGTGCATGCGTCGTGATCCTGTCCATGCAAACGTGTTTTCTTGGACATGTGTCCGGAACACATAAAAATGTTTCATGTTTTGAAACATGTTCGTTGTTATATATTGTGGAATTGATTGCTTGTTCATTTAAAGGCTATGTCGGGAAATATTTTCTGTTTTAAGAAAACTTCGTTTGAAAGTCAAAATCATTACAAAAATGGCTTTGGAACAACAGAATGTGTTTATACGTATACTCAACAAGTCCAGCAAGTTGAGAAAAATGTTGAGATACATTTTGTACATCAATTTTTTTTTTTCAAAATGGAACTGGAAATACTGAATGCCTGTCACATATAAATTTTTGTAATTAAGACTTCAAACATACTGGTACATGTAGATTATTAACTCAGAAAAAAAAAGAACTTTGTTTTCCCATTTCCGTTTTGAAATACAGACTTTTTGGGAAAATAACGGACAATAGCATAATAATACCTAACAACTTGTCTCATTTCTTTTAGGTTATTATGACATGTAAATATTTTTCCTGTTATGAAACTGGCCTCGGCCCCTGCGGTATCCATTACAGGGCCTTTATTTTTTTTAATATTTAAATTACTTGAGCCTTGAGAATAGTCGGCAATTTATTATTGACCAGCAAATGCAGTCATTGACTCCCTACGAGGGCTGACTTCCACCAATCAATGTCGCTGGGCACCTAGATATCAGGGCTTTTTTTAATAATCATCAGACACATGAAGGTCTCTGTTAATTTTTTTCCCCTTTTTTTTTCTTCAAATGATCTCACCACAGAGGTTTCTGAAAGTCCTTGGTTCTGTGGATTGGTTCATTTGAAGAGAAGGGGGTGAATTTCGTGTTGGTGTGTTTTACGAAAAACTAGTTTTTCGATGAATTAATATTTGAAAACTGTCCCCACTCTTGTGTATTTTGTTTTTTGTTAGAATTTAGTCAGACATTCACTTGAGATCTCTAGAGGTTAAACATTTAAAAAATGAAAGACTTTTTTAATACATACCAGTATATTGGATTATTGATTTCTTTTTTGTGGGGGGGGGGGGGAATGCAAACAGAGAACACATATTTTCTAGGGTAAGATTAGACTCGTGCTTAGTCCATTCTTATGAAGTTGTAATGGGCTGGGCTACTTTTACATGCACATCAGATTTTGGACACAGGGTGACATCAGTCTCATTATTTGCGTCTTAATCCCAGACTCCCTTCATATTTATTCTGCAGGATAAGGAAGAGGTACATGTACCTGCCTACATAACTTTAATGAGGTTAAAGCAAGAGATGAGACATCTACCAAAAAAAAACATGGTTCACAAATGAACCAAAAAAATCTTGAAAACACAAGTCTAATGATCGACATGTTTCCAAGGTGACCCTCTCTGGTCTAATTCCAAAGGTTAGTTGATCTGTCGGGTAAGCTAGAAAATATTGCCAGGTCCAACAGTTGATCCCATTGCCATAGCAACCACAGATCTATCCTCCCAAAACTGCCTGCTCATAGCTACCAACCTCAACCAGTCCCTCAGGCTTGACAACTGATAACGCCCCTCCTCCTGGGCCAGAATGGTACAACCCCAGAAGCTGTTCTAATGTCCAGTCTGTTACTCATGGTCACTCGGCCTTGAGCCGGCCAAACAGCTTAGTCCAGACAGCCAGTAATCATTATGGACACAATAGTCTGGACAGCAAGGCCATCTGGTCGCAGGACCATGGGCTACTTTGTGTTGCAGGCAAATGGACTATCCAGGGCCAAATGAAAAAAAAAAAACTACTTGCATAATGCATAGATTATACAGACAAGCCCAAGGCTTTATTGTGCCCAAGGACCCCTAGCTAATTAACTCAAGAAAGGAAGAAAGGGGGGGGGGGGCTGGGGAGAATAATTCCTAGTACTAGAAGATGCTTGGGAGGGGGCTGCAGAAAGCTCACCTCGTAAGGACAAAGTTTCTTTTAGATGTTATGCAATTGAAGAATGCTTCTTCTAAACATAAATTCCCCACTTCAATCAAATGTCCATTGTACCAGTTCTAACTACAGTGTATTATCAGACTACCAGACAGTTTTGTTGTTGGTTCGAAACATTTCAAAGAAGAATTGTCATAGCTGAGAGGAATTGACAGCAGAGACACACAAAAAAACCACTTAGATTGTTGCTTCTGCTGACTTTTTAATGTAAAATCGAACCCTGGATGGGAATTCAGAAAAGAGTTGTTTATAGTTCTGTGAGTCTGTGTAGTTCGTTTTGCCTTAATCACTACCCATCCTGTTTGGGTCAGTCAGTGGGTCGCCCACCTCATTTTCCCGGGAAACAGAAGAAAAAAAACAATCCTGCGAAACAAAGCTGAATAATTGTAACTGTAAGAGTACGCTGGGGATAAAGAGCAAAGCAACAACATCCTTTTTCAGTAGGTTTGTTTATTCCTGATATTTCCTGTCGAACGTTTCCCCTGAAGAGGAAAAGCGTAACTTGCATGTTCACAGAAAAACATACGTGTACTCTAACTGTGAATGTCTCAATTCTGTTGTTTTTCTTGCTTACAGCAGCATTCTACTAAACAAAGTTCCAACAGGGAAAATACCTCCCCCTTTTAATTGGGGAGAGAGTACAAATTCTGAATGGCTTCAAATGCAAATTTAGGCATGGAGTGCGCCTACTCCTTCTGCCATGATGGAACTACCAATATCCATGTGCAACTCCTTTTTTTATCAAAATAATGGCCAAAATGCATATTTCTGATTGAAAAGGAAGAAGTTTTTGGAAGAAACAAAAATGGTCTGTCAGCATAGTTGGAGCATTTGATGTGTACAGTATATGTATGGTGTCAGTGTAATATAAAAAAAGTACAGCAAAAAGCAGTGTAGTAGTGCCATGCCATGGTATCATCACAGAGCATGGTTTGGGCTATGGTTTCACCTATGGTTTGCTATGTATCTGTGGTCACCTCATGAGGACAAACTCATCAAAGTGAATTATCCTCCCAAACAGGTGCAACATGTGAAGTTCCTGAGGATGGTATTTTTACCACAAGCAAGATAATGGTCTTATCTATGGTTTGTTGTGTGGTCACCTGATGAGGACAAAGTCATTAAAGTGAATTTATGGTCTCCATCCTTGCAGCCACCCCCATGGTGTAAACACTACTGATACCTCATCACTGCATGCAGAACCATGGTCTTGTGGTATAATTTATGGTCTTATCTATGGTTTGAATCATGGTAAATGTTCTTTGGTTTGGATTGATCCGTGGTTTGAAATTCTTTCTATGATGTGGCTAAAGGTATCAAGTAAAGTTTGAATCATGGTCTTATCTATGTTCTGATTCATGGTCTAACCAATGATTTGGATGACGGTCAGTTGAAACGATATACCGTAACAACACTTGAAGCATACCAGTGGGTGTGTACATGTGTACGTGTTCTTAACATTTTCTTCTTTTTTTTGCAGTCACGAACCTGTCCCATTATATATATTTTTTAGGTTAAAAGTCTTTAGATCAAAAGAGGGAAAGTACTGTCAGAGTAAGTGAACTTTAGAATTAGGCCTTTTCTGTAGTTTATTTCATGGACCCAAATCAGGGTTTTTAGCTGATCTGCTGACTACCTCAATAATGCAGACTACCTTTGTTCACACCTGACTGCATTTTATCACCTTGTTGACAAATGCACAAGGTAAACGTTTCATAACCATTTGATGAAGGTTTTTTATTTCCTTCCCTATCTGAAACGGGACAAAACACCTTTGTTTGTTTTTCAAAATTCAGATAGCAGGGGACAACCCCATGAATGCAATCCATTAAAACCCGCCCACAGCACATTATTCGTACCACCCACTCACAACAAACGCACAAATGAAGCAGGACCTCTAATCAAGTGAATCAATCAAGAACACACAAAGGAAATCGTTCTTTAATGATGCTGAATTCCATTTGTATGAAACATTTGAGGCCAAATATATCATTAATGACTT